TCTGGAAACCTGCCTGGCAGTGTATGAAGTGCTTTGCATTTCTGCGTTTGCCACAGCACTTTATATCTTTCCTGAAAGTGTATTGTTAAAAAGTAAAAGTTCTAACCCAGATTTCCACTGCCAAATTCAGAGCCAATACGTGACGTGAACGGGAGGAGTCTGAACATTGCAAACATCATGAATGTAGCGACGCGTTAAGGTTAAATTTAGTGCAGCTCCCAAAGTATTTACAGAAATGGCTGTACTATCAAAACCATATTCAGACTTGTTGATCATTTACTGACATGTTTGTAGTTAATTCCTATTGATTTTTATTGTATCTGATTATGGAACAATCAAGTCCATAGGGCTGTCAGCCTTTTTCTGCGACTGGTGACATTTAAAAGCTTGGCAGGAGAACAGGTCTGTGGAAATTAGGTCAGTGAATGTAGAATAAGAGTTACTTTTTTATTTTTCAATGCTTTAACATAAGTACATCACAATAATATAATTTTTATAATAATAGCTTCATGCAAATATTGGAAAAATAGAAAATTAATAGTTACTTTCATAAAGATATATACTATTTTTATTTCTTTAGTAACAGAAAACAGTTTTCTGATATAATAAGAAACTGTTGAGTGTAGTTTAGTCTTGCAGAAGATTTGTTTTTTGCTATTCTTCAAGAAAACATAAAGTTGAATTCTGATCCAAAAGAAGAGTGACTCTATAATTCTGTTTTCCTTTAAGACCCTTAGACATGGTTGGAAATCTAGGGCATACAGTTACATAGTGTTTTAAACAAATTGTTGAAACAGCTATAAAAGATTTTAAAAGTGCATGGCTTTTTCTTTTGGAATTATCACTAAATCACAAAATCAGTCTTGATGAACTTATTTTGTTAAGGGTGAAAAGAGACAGACTTTTACAAGGCATTTATCAGGACTCCTGGTCCTATAACATACACCTCCTGCTTCTAAAGACAGTATTTCAGGTCCCTCTCTGGTATTAAGGGCTTCACTCCTATTGGCCTCACAGGTATCTGATCCAAACAATAGTGCAAAAATCCTTGATGTTAGATCCCTTTGCCTGTCTTGGGTTGTTTTACCACGTAAGAAGTGACTGTATTTTTTCTTTTTCTGATAATACCAAACACATTTCCATGAAGAGCTGAAAACAATACTAGATTATTTGCAAATGTGGAAAACGTGACACTGTGTGCAGCGATGGTATTGAAAAACCCCCTGCAGTTATTTATTCTGTGTTACATTGTGTGACAGGACCCCAAGTTGACCTGAATTTGGAAGTGGAATTCCCAACATGTCACACTGGCATCAAGCATATTGTGAACCTCAGGGGGCTTGCACTTTCTGAGGAGTAATATTTTAAAATCCAAAATAGAAAAAGAAAATGTGAGACAGCGAATGGCCAGGCTTCCTCCCTGCATCTATGCCCCATCATGTGTATTCCTTAGAGACAATCACCAGAGGGAGGAAGAGACACTACTAGAAAACAAATAGGAACAGGAGGTACTTTGGTATGGTTGGAGCTGAATAAAACCACTGAAAGGGCAGAATTTATCATGGGTGTAAGTAGAATAGAAAGACCTGCAATGCTTGAGGGCCAGATCACACAGTTTACTGCAAAACTGCCTCCTGGCAGTGTATAAAGCAAACCACAGGAATCAGAGGTACCCACCGGGTTTTAAACAGAGACAGGCAGTTTTTAGACTCTCCAATAAAGGGTCAGACCAGAGAACTATTACTATTATTGTTAGGAAAATTATTTGTTTCCTATGGCCTCCCAGAAGGGGTAATGTCAGACAAGCCTCCACAGTTTATTTCAAAGGAATTTGTAGCAATTATTAAAGTGAATTGCTGACATATAGGATCTTGTAACAGCCAAGTTTCAAATCAGCAGTGGAATGAAGATTTATCTAACTGGAACAAAGACAGATTTTTTAAAATTTTTTTTTAAGAAAAAGACTGTGAACCTGGATTTTGAAGCTTAGGTGAAAAGTGTCAAAGCCAGGAAAAAGCATGATGGAATGTAGATCTTGTCTGACTGCCTTATTGTTCTTAATCAACGTTGTGACTACTGATATTTCAGAACAAGGAAGTATTTTTGATTTTATAAGAGGTTATATCAATTCAGCAATAGATAATACAGATGTCCAATTTGTAAATGCTTACTAAAAGGCTCTTGAAAATAATCTGAGTAAAAGCAATAGGGATATTCAAAATAGGGATAGGGATATATGCAAAAATGTGTAGCATCAAGTCTTTGTGGTGATTATTAATAGGAAATCCTCACTTGCATTCCATTTGACTCCCTCACAGGGCCAAACTTGACCAAACTGAATATATCTGAAGGGATGGGCTTAAATAGGAATAAACTCAAGTTCTGAAAAGAAGTAATAAAAATTACATCAAAGAGTATTAATATTTCTATAAGAAGTTAACACAAATCTGAGGTCCCAATAAAGCCTTGATTGTGTGCATGCATTTGTGTTTTGCCTATTCAGGTTTTTAATTAGTTTGTTGAGGTAGGAAGACACACAGACCACACAGCCCCTACACCCTTTTCTTTAAACCTCTCTCCCCTGTCTGGAACCATCAGCTTTCCAATTTAGTTTGAATGTTATCTTCAAATAAGAGTTTCTGCAAAGATACTTCTGTGCCTAATGTTGCATATTCTGCCTTGGCTGCCTCGACTGCACTTGACATACTCGTTTGTAGAAGATGTCATTCAAATTAGCTCCGTATGAAAACATATGAGTTTGTTCTGTGTAGTGGGCTCGGGCAAACTGTAGAGTTCTTCAGGGTTTGTTCCCAAACTGGGAGTTTGGACATCAGTCTTCACTGCACCTGTCTTTATCTCAGATACCAATGAAAAGATGCTTGTAATTTTTGCGTGTATTTAAGACAAAGATGACATCAACAACACCAAAAAAAACCCACAAACCACAAAAACACAACAACAACAAAACCCCCACAAAAAGTAGTGTTATAAAGCAAACAGATTTCAGTGCTATAATAGCAAATAAAAAAGAAATCATGTTGCAATATTCTCCTTTTGTCTAAACGTAAAAAAGAAGAAACTTCCGCTTCTCAAAGTTGTTAATCAAGGAAAAAAACTAATAAGTAACTAAAATTTAAGAAAGGCTTTAAAGTGCTCTAACCTGTTATACAGCATTTAGGTCATGTATTTACAGTTCACAGGTATCTGTACTTTCTGCAGCAACCCTTGTATATGGTTCAATGTAATCAATTATTAAACCCCCCAGGCTTTTAAAGAAACACATATAGATTATGCTTTAATGTGATCATGGTTTGTATTTTGCTATTGGATTGCTGAAGTTTTAGGATGACAGAATTTCACTTGCAGCAATTCTCCCTGCCGTGAATTTTGTTACATTTTATGTTGTGAAAACAGAGTTGTGGCTGATTGCTCCCAGTGTTTGTGAATTAGAGATCACGTTACAGTTCCCTTTCATGACATGTTCTGATGTGGATATCTGCTTTCAGCAGAGGACCTTGTGGAAGTTGTTTTTTTCTATTTGATTTATTTCAGAGCAAGGACAAAAGGTCAGTCAGAAGCTCACTAGAGATCTTGAAGGTCTATTTTGCATTTGGCATCGATTCACCTGCCTGTTTCTGTCTTCAACTGATGCCTTTAAAGAACAATTTGTATGAGAAAAACAAATTTTCTGAGAAGGTGGATTTAGCACAAGGGTAAATTGCTATGAATGTGGGATTTCTCTACAAGTATGAAGTAGGAGGAGAAGAATTCAGAAAAAGAGAAAACTGTATTGAACCTATAATACTTTGGTTTTCTGACTTCCTCCCCTACAATGGGTTTTCTCTTTTCTAAAGTGAAAACAAAACCCATCCTTCAACTCTTGATAACCAAGGTATTTTATATGTATTGGAGTCTCCTGCCTGCTCTCCCTGCCTTTTTATGTGAGTTGTTGCTTACAGTAAATACTGT